CCTCACCTAATCCCTTCGGCTGATTGCTCTTCTCTTTGGCTCCCTGGGTTTTACCCCTTTCTCCTGCTCTTCCGGCCTGCTACTCTGTGCTACGCCCATGCTTACCTTGCTCCCGGAGACCCGGTCCCTCTCGGGAGGGTAACAAGGGAAAGTGTTCACTAGTGCTCAGACGGCTCCCTTGCTACCATCCCGAGAAGAGTAGGAGGTGGCCTTATTCAAAACAAGATTCTCTCAATAAAAATTTAAATATCTTTCATAAACCAAAGGACCTTAGTCTATATACTCTGAAGATAAAATATATGCTAATAACAAGTCTGTTCTTCTCAAAGTGTTTCTACGCTTGTACTTTCCTTTCTAACAGAAGAAAAGTTATAATCAAAGTAGAAAGCAGATCTTAGACCCTAAGATAATCAGAACACACACCGAGATAATGTTAAAATTCTGTTCTGAGACTGTGAAGAGACACAAGAGAATCATCCTGGTTGACAGAAAATACAACTTACGCTATCTAAGTAGTTTGCTAAACGAATCATCTCTTCTCTCACAGCAGTCTGATTTCTCCCCATTGTGTCATACTGAAAAACAAAGCAGGAAATCATTATCATCAAAGTAATTTAAGAGAATTACTGTAATCTGTTACAAAGAAAATAAGAATCCAAGTATTTCCTCTGAATCAAAATTTGAAGCATGGAGGCATTTATCAGCATTTCAAATTAACAAATCTAAAGGATACATTTAGGGATAAGTAGGAACAAAAGAAAAACAAGCACAAGTATGAACTGAATAATCATGAAAAAAATTGAAGTCCTAATGTTTCTCTAAATTAGTATAAATTTAAAACAAATTTTATTCTTAAGGGTCTTTTTATTCATTTTAATGCAAAAATATTTCCAAGCATTTCACAAGGTAAAGTTTAAAACAATTAAAATGTATAAAAGAATAAAAGATAATTTTCAAGGTTTCCTGAGCCTTTCACTTCTTAGGCTAAAGGTACTATCAATAAACTCTAAATCATAGGCTATAATAATAGTAATGAAGTAATTAACCCATGGTCAGTAGTTACAATATTAGATGTATGTAGCAGCCAAATGCCTTAACCACACCAGCAGAGCTCCTTATGTATATACATACACCAAAAAAAAACAAACTCACTGCCATCAAGTCAAACCCAATTCATAGCAACCCTCCTTGGGTTTCTTAGGCGGTATCACTGTGTAAGTAGATTGTCCAAACTTCTTTCCAAGGAGTAGCTGGTGGGTTTGAACTGTCAGCTTTCTGGTTAGCAGTCAAATGCCTTAGGCACTACGCTACCAAAGCTCCTATGTATATACATGTTGTTGTTGTTATGTGCTATCGACATAGCGACCCCTCCTTGGGTTTCTAAGGCAGTATCACTACAGAAGTTGATTGCCCAACCTTTCTTCTGAGGATTGGTGGGTGAGTTTGAACTGCCAGCCTTCTGGTTAGCAGTCAAGTGCCTTAGGCACTATGCTACCAGAGCTCCTATGTATATACACAGAGATATATAAAAGTTTAACCATATTAAGCCAAGTAACTGATATGACTGATTATTTTCTTTGTGACCTGAGTTCAATCTAAATGTCTGTTTTAACATTTAGTACAACTAACTAACCAACCAACAAAATGAAATTTTAAAGAAGAATTTATAGTTGCACTCTGATTCAGGTATTAATATCAGAATATATCATATTTTATCACTCAGGCAATCTCACCATGACTCTCTTTAACAAGAAAAAATGTTTTAATACATTTGAAAAGGTCTGATTGAAATAGAACCATTTTTATTTTGAACCATTTTCTACCGGTATATAACAAGCTGCTCTAGAAAGAACAAGAAAGAAAACAATATTAAATCCCTATTTTTGTGATTTGTCTGAAACATCCTACAGAATGTTTTACCCATTACTGGAGTCACAGAGTTCACACTTGCTCACATTCCCTATACCTTTTCCTTGGACCACCTGAGGGTAATGAACCTATAATTAACAAATCTGAGTAAGTTTCTATCTTATAATAAACACAGCTTGTTTGTTTCAACCTATACACTAGAAGGGATAAATTTTATCTTAAAAATCCTCAAAACTGTCTCTGTAGTTCACAAAAAAGGAACTGCCAATTATACTGTTTCTACAATAAACTCTTTCACACAAACAACAAAGTTGGCAGTAAAAATAAGATGAATTTTCAAATAACTCATATTTTAAATTATATGCCCACTATATCTAAAATTGATAATCGTATAAATGCTGACATAAACAGATTACTTCTCTCGGTTAAGGAAAGCAAACTTTATAAATGAATAAGGTTTGGGGGCTTAGGACCATAGTCTTGGGAGACATTAAGGTCAATTGGCCTAACACAGTCCATAAAGACAATGCTCCATATCCTACTTTGGTGAGTAGTGACTGGGGTCTTAAAAGCTGGTGAGTGGCCATATAATAGGCAACTATTGGTCTCTCCCTATCAGGAGCAAAGAAGAGTGAAGAACATCAAAGAGTCAAGGAAATAAGTAGCCCAAAGGACTAATAGACCACACAAACCACAGCTTCCACTACCCAAAGATCAGAAAAACTAGACAGTAGCCAGCTACACTACCTACTGCTCTGATCAGGAGCACAACAGAATGTCCTGGACAGAGTGGGAAGAAAAAAATACAAAACAAATTCAAAAACATAAAAAGACCAGAACTACTGGTCTGATAGAGAGACTGGTAGAGTCCCCAAGCCTGTGGCTCTTAAGACACCCTCAAGCCTGGTACCAAACTTACCCATGGGGATCAACTTTCAGCCAAAGAATAGACATGTCTATAAAGTGAACAATAACACCAGGGAAAGATGTATTCCTCAGATCAATCAATCAACCATACCATACAAGACCAAAAGGGCAGCATTTGCCAAAAAATAAAACTCAGAAGATAGGAAGGAATAGGAAAGAAGGATGAACGGAAATGGGGAACTCACAGAGGAAGTAGGGAGAGTGTTGTTACATTGAGGCTTTTGCAACGAATATCATGAAACAAAATATGTATAAATTCTTGACTGGAAAACTGATTTGTTCTGTAAACTTTCACTCAAATCACAAGAGAATGCTGAAAAGAAAAAAAAAAAAAAAAGGATACCCTGAACCATTAAGTCGTCATTGCCTATTCTCCCCAGCCCCTAGCCTTTGGCAACCACTAATCAGCTTTCTGTCTCTACAGAATTGCATACTCTGGATATTTCATATACATGGAATCATATGATACGCAAAATAAATAAATACAGATAAGGAAACTCCTTTCGCGTTAGTCTTGTCCACTGAAATTAACACTAAATGGTAAAATGAACTAGCCTCCTCTTTGATTTCTAGGTCATACTCCCTTCTGAAGTATGCCAGGGCATAAACGTTTTCTCTCTCTTAAAGGGAAGTATATGTTAGCTAAAATCCTAGTAAGCAAAGCAACACTTAATTGACTATTTCCAACCACAGTCCTTGAAAGTGATCTGAAAAGTTCTCAAGACTTTAACTGATAGGTGGTACAGTTTTAAGAAACTGAGCATAAGCAAGTTACCAGAAAGAGCAGGGGGAAAAAAAATCACCTGTAAAGAATTGCTACATTCAGCTCCTGATGGAATTACAAATATTAAATTACACACACACAAAAAAAAAAAACAATTTTAATTTTAAAATTGTCATTTAAGAAAAATAGTATAAATATATTACATTTCATATTTCTCTCATGGGATGCTCACTTTTCATGTGCTTCTCATGAAAAAGAAGAAAACTTTCACCAGTCCTACCTTTTCCTTATCTACTACAATGAATAGTTCCACATATCGGGTCTGGGGCAGGATAGCTCTTCTTCTCTATCAAACACAGAAACAAAAAGAAGTGAGAAGGCTGCAGGTTTCTCTTAAATAATCATCTTATCCTAACTTACGGATGCTTATTTCATGTCTGCTGACAATATCAGGAAATTTTCTCACATTAAGTGACTTTAGGTCAATAAAACCAAAACCATAATTAAAAACAAAGAAAATAGTAATATCTGATATCTGTACTAATATGAGGGAAAAAAATCTAGTTAAAGATAAAATGGGTTATTCAGGTTTCCAAACAGAATTACTGATTTTTCTGAAATTAAAACCACATAAACATGTAAAAACATGCACATGTACACATATACACAGTTTAATGGGAAACTCCATTAATACACTGCAGAGATAAAGAAAGAAAGATTATCTCTCAATTGCACAAAGCAAAAGTGGAGACAAAGCTGCCACTTTAAAAAATATATATATATATTTGTGATTTTACAAGAATTAATATAAAGTAGGATAAGCTAAAATGTAAATGTTTCCAGTATCTAAAAAGAATAGTCCAATAATTAAGAGTGGATAGCAGGAAAGACAATGAAATAATACCATGAACTAGTATGAGTTTATCAAAAATATACCAGATATTGACAGAATTAAAGGCAGTCCCAGGCACATGCTTCTTTCAACACAGAAACAGCTCTCATATGCAGAAAGGTATATTTCCTACAGGTGAGGTTGATCTAGTTCTAGAACCATTTCAGTCTAAGAGACTCATCTCAAGAGTAAGTCAGGAAGCCCTAAAGTTGTCTCAAAATGGTATTTTTGGAAGACATTTAAAGTAATTAATGCCCTACAATCAAATCTCTGTTTCTCCAATCTAAAGTTCAAGAATCACCAATCCAGTTTGTATAAGATATATCTAAATTAAAAATTCCACTGCTCTCTGAAAGACTATGCAACAATGCTGGAAGAAATACGCATTACTGTTTAAGTCCCAGTTTCCAAAACCCACAGATGCTACATCCCCAATTAGACTTACCAGGTTGGTGGCAAAAGCTGCATAGTGATCATCTTTATATCCCTCATAACCTATCACAATGTCTGACACAAAATTGTCAATAAACAAACAAGTATTAGTTAAATGGACAAACACATGATTTTTTAAGAACAGTAATGTGAACCATAAAGAATGATACTATTTCCTTACTCGAAGTAGCTTGGTCATGTTTGGAGACTCTTCCTCTTCATCCTTTGTGATTTGTTTCTCTACATCCTTGTTGGAAACCCCACATTTCAGAGGCTCTTTGTTGACATCATCCATTCGATAAAAGATATGCTCAAAAAGAGTACTGTTTTGCAGGGGTTCAATCCCATAACTCACATCATCTAAATGCAGCAATCCTCTAAACATTGTGTTTATCACATACACAATTTTGAAGAAAAAAGATACACAGGAAAAGAAATCAGAAACTCTGAATTCAAGTCCTAGTTCTTAACATGTATAAAGAGGAGTAGCAAAAAAATAGAGATTTTAGAGTCAGACAAAATTAAATTTAAACTCAAGACTGCTACTTACTAACTTACTGCCCAAAAGTTATTTAACCTCTCTGGGTGATTACTGTAAAATGGAAGGCATTATGGAGTAGTGGGAAAAAGCATGGAGTCTAGCCAGAGGACCAGAGTTTGAATCCCAAATATGTTTCCTACTAGCTGTAGGACTTGGAGCAAGTTATTTAACATAAGCTTGATAAGGAGCTCTGGTAGTGCAGTAGTTAAGTAATACTAGGCTGCTAAATGAAAGATGGGTGGCTCGAACCCACCAGCTACTCCCTAGAAGAACAATGTGGCAATCTGCTTCCACAAAGATTTACAGCCTCGGAAGCCCTGTGGGACAGTTGTACTCTACCTTACAGGATCACTATGAGTCAGAATCAACTCAACAGTAACAAGTTTTGGGTTGATTTTTAGTTTACATTCTGCACAGGGTTGTTCTGAAAACTAAATTATGTGTGCTGTTGTTGTTGCTGGTTGACACTAAGTCAGGTCCGATTCACGGCAACCTTACGTATAACAATGAAACACTGCCTGGTTCTGTGCCATTACTGCTGTGGTTATTGTGCCATGTTTTGAGTGTCTTCCATCCCAAGGGGCTCATTTTCCAGGAATACATCAGATAATGTTCTGTTGTTACTGACTTGGCTACAACGGCTAATTTTCAGAAGCAGATCACCAGGCCTTTCCTCCTACTCTATCTTAGTCTAGAAACTTTGATAAAATCTATCAACCATGGATGACCCTGCTGATATTTGATGGTGTCATAGCTTCCAGTATCAGAACAACACACAAGCCACCATTGTATGACTAACTGACAAGCAAGTGGTGGCTAAATCATTTATTAAGTACAAACACTTAGAACACTGCCTGGCACACAATAACTATTTAGTAAATATTTCCATTTAAATGGAAATAATCCTAGCATCTTTAGAGTTAGTTTGAGAAGTAATAAATCTAAGTTCAGTCAATCAATTATGCAGTCAACCAACCACATATTGCCATACCACCAGGCACTTAATAAATGTAACTTTAACATTATTATTACTTCACATGCCGTGTGCTACCATTTCTCTGAACCTCAGTTTGTCTATCTAAATATGGATATAATGAGCTCTTTCATAGTTATCATAAAGCTTAAGTGAAAGTATATAGCTAAAAGATTTATAAAGTATTACAGAAATTTAATGTATACTTCAAATAGCAAAAAAAAAAAAAAAAATATTTAACAGTCTCAAAAGATAAAATTTTCCCTTCAGGTATTAAAATTAATCAACTGTAACATTTTCGTAAGTAAGTATACTAATAATGATGACTACAATATAGCTGCTATAAAAATCTTTAGCGAGCTCAAAGTAAAATCTAATTTTGTTAAAGTGCCCCAAAATTACTTGATTCGGAGATAGAAACAGGAGAAAGTTTGAGTAATAAGGGAAAGAGGGTAAAAACATATAAAGAAAATTTCTTACCTGAGTCCAAAACAGTTGCTAAGAGCAACGGATGAATTATAAACTCCTTCCACATAGCCCCGATAATGACAGTGATTCTAAATGAGAAACATTGCATTAACTTCAAATACCGTTCCACTGTTGAAAATCATCACAGAAATTGCAGAGCTTAAAAATTACTTAAGGCCAGTAAACTGAAAAAAAAAAAATTATTTTTTTACTGGCATATCACATAACACTCCTCCGAGTATCTACTATCACCCTGTAAGTACACAAATGTTCAGGCAGGATTCCAGAGAATACTAAGTACAAACAGCACTGCCCCAATGACCTTTCAGTCTAGAGGCAGAACAAGACAGCATTATGCCAAGTTTAACATTTCAAATCACAGTCAATCCAAGAAACTATAACCACCAATGACATCTAATACAGAAGAGGACTTTGTGAGAGGCTAACAATGCCACTCCTTCAACAAAAAGAAAATTAAAATAATATGAGGGAGAAAGACTGATTTTGATCAGATTATTTCATTTTCTATCTATTTAGTCCTAAATTTAGCCATCTTCAAAAAATTATGAGCCTTTATTTTTAATTTTGAGCAAGAAATTGACCAGTAGAAATTCAGACATACTATCACTTACTAATACCAGATATTTTAGTAACTGATGAGATTTTCTGATCTTTTAAACAACTGCTCAAAAAACTCACTGCCATAGAGTCAATTCCAACTCATAGCAACCTCCTTTGGGTTTCCAAGGCAGTAAATCTTTTTTTTTTTTTT